AAAAGAATAGATTTTAAATATGAATGAATCATTTTTCTTCTTTTATATGAAATTTAAATTTGTGCACGAAATAGTTTGTTATAGAAATGCACATTTTTGCAAAATTTTCGGTTATGAGACATTCCCAATTTATTTCACTGCTCAGATTATGCAAATGGATTAATTAAAACTATTTAATCATTTTTTTCAAATTATTTATGTTAAATGATGATCATAAATAAATAAACACGTAAAATAACTTACATCAAGTACTTCCAAAAAATAATCAAATAGCTTCAATTAATTCATTGGCAGAATTTAAGAGGTAAAATAAACGGTGAATTAATAACTTAATTGAATAATAGCAATGTTACAAGTTTTGCTAATGCTAAATAAAATAAGTAAATAGGCATTAATAATTTGATGCGAAGTCGAAAAAGTTGCATAATAAGTAAACAAGTATTAATAATGTGATAGTAAATAGAAAAAGCTGCATAATAGGTAAACAGGTATTAATAATTTGATTAACTAACATTTATATAATAAATCATTCATATGAACTCCTAATGTGATCGTACATAATGCAAGCATACATAAATAATAAATATATAATTAACGTAATTAACGTAGCAATTTTTTCAGTTACCTCATGAATTTCATTCGTTAAGCGATTAGTTCGTGAAAATTTAGGTGATGTACGTGGATAGATTCCATCGATGGTCCCTACAAGATGACCTCTGGCTTGAATTGATGATGATAGTGCTGTTGAAGTATGCGGTAAATATGGTGATGTAACCTGTAAATGATGAAAAATTGTCGATGGTAATTGTCAAATTTATTAAATTGTGTTTATAACTGGAATTCTCTAATTTTCGATATATAAGTATATCAATATATGTATGTATTTCAATATAACATAAAAAATAATAAGAATGAAAAGAAAAAGAAGAAACGACAAACTTGTTTTGATTTATTACTGTTATCAATTACATTTTGAGCATTATCACCGTTTGTTTCAGTAATTGTTTTATAATTATGAGATGGAGAATTAGTTTGTCGAAGTGTTGGAAATTTCATAGCTGTGGTGACATTAGCTGATTGTTCACGACATAATTCCATACCAGATGAAACTGAAAAATTTATTAATTATTTTTTAATAGCACGTCTAAATTAGCATCCATTATTACATGTTAACACACTTTTTAAAACATATTGCATTCATGTTCACAATTCATCATATTTACAACAGGAATATATTCACATCCTTCCTTTTTAGTTTTAATTTTAATTTTTTTAAAAAAAATTCAACTTATTGAAAGTTGGACCTTGTAAATTTTAATTTAATTAAAAAATTTATAAACTTTTAGTTTTAACATATCTTGGAGGAGCTAATTGATAAGAAAAAGAACTTTTCCACACTTTTTCATTAGAGTTGATAAGATTTTTCATAAATTTTAGAAGCGGGAAAAAAATGTACCACCCTCTGTCATTGCAGTTGCTGATGTATTACGTTTCCCTGTCAAAGATGATAATGGTTCACGTTTTGTTGTTGATAATGAATTGTTTGAAGAAATACTTTTCTGAAAAACTTTCTTTTTAATTCCTAAAAATTAGTTTACTTAAAAAAAAATGAAACGGAAAAAACGTTTACTTTGGTAACATGATAAAACCAACCATATTGATATAATCACTTCGACCATATAAATTATTTACTGATATTACTGATTGTTTTCTTATCTTAGTTGATAGAAGATAATCTGGTGGTGCTGGGAAATCACTATCTGAATCGGAAGGTTCACCAGAAAGAAATTCTTGTGAATTATTAGCTCGTGGTGTTACACTGCGTGACTGATTCTAAAGTAGAATAATACAGATTTTTAATTTTAAAAAAATTTTTCTATCTAAATTAAATAACAACGTTATGTAGTCATTTTTAAAATTTATAACACTGTTATAAATTAAAAGAAAAAACTTATTAAAATTTGTTTCCTTATCATATTCAACTTCATCAAAAATTGAAATATTTTTATGAATTAATGAAAGAAAAAAAAATCGAATTATCCATTAACTATAATGTATTAATGGTAAAATTGTAAATTATAAACAAGTTTATGATTAATGTGATAATAATTAATCAGCTTTTTTCCGTTTAAAATATATCATTAAAAATAAATGAACAGGTAAAAAGGTACAAAATAAAATAGATGTGTTAATTGAAAATAACATTTAAAAAATTTTTCCTATTTACTAAAATTCTCAAATAACGGGGAGAGAGATGATTGGATGGGCTTACATCAGCAATAATTTAGTAATAATTTCAGTAAATTTATTGCAAGTATTAATGTTTATTACCATCATTATTCGAATTATTTGATTTTCAAGGACAGAGTAACAGTTTAAAATTTTCTAAAAACAAGTTTCTTTCCATTTTTTTTAAAATTCGAGCTTTATTTTATTGTTAAATGAATGTTTGTCATTTACCAAATGTTCAAAAAACCAAAATTTATAATGATTAAATATTACAATTAAGCAAGATTTATCATTAAATGAATCCTATCACCTAATAAATATTTGAAAAAAAAATATAATTTACATATGGTTAGTAGTGATTATTATAAAAAAAAACTATTAACCTGTTCAGGAAAATTAGCTTTAGTGATTGTATCTGTGTGAAGTAATTTGCTAGTAGAAGGAGTTAAATAACTATCTTCTGTAGCAGTTGTACTGTAATCGAGTACCGGATGAGTAAGGGTTTTTTCAGGAAACGACAGAATTGAGTGAGATGATAATTCGAGATTTTGGTAACAATATTGTTGATGATTTTGCGATGATAGTGATAATGATGAAGTAAATGAATGCCTTTTATCCAACTGATTTAATTCAGCTGAAAAATAAAAAAAAGGAAACAAAACTTAATACATTTCAAATTCAAATTATGTTTAAAGTTTAAAAAATTTCAACATCCAAAATATATCATTAAAAATTTTCAGTTAATTTATTACATCCATTTGTAATTTCCTGTGCTAATTAGGTTCAATCATAGCAATATTTTTTAAAAAAAAAGAAAAAACAAAAATAACAATAACAGGAAAAAAATCTCATAAATTTTGTAAAATTTAGGTCAAAAATTGTATTTTATTCTCTTGTTATCACAGTATTCTTCTGATCACACATTTACAGATCATAAAATTTGATGAGATTAAAATCTTTCCTTTTTTCTTTTTTCCTATTGTGAAAACTCAATTAAATATGTATGTATTTCCAAAAGATTTTCTCCCATTCATTCACATAAAGATATGCTGTTGTACAATAACAGATTGAAATGTAATTTCTTTTGCTTCTTTCCTTTTTTAAATTGAATTAATTTAAATTAAAACCTGATTTTAAAAGAAAACTAACTCGATGGATAAAAATCAACGGATGCAGTTGATGAATGATCGTCAATGGAGCTATTCTCTCTTCTCAAATTTTCTGGATGTTCTCTTAATGATGGTCGATTGGATATTAAACAATCGTCACTTTCCTGCAAAAAATTAATTTTAAGTATTGAATGATTAAAATGTTAAAATATTCCAATGCCGTAGCAAATTGATAGAAATGTTTGGAGAAGTTTTTTTACTTAATAAAATTTATAATTTTAAAAGTTCGTAGGAAAAAATTTTTAATATTCAAGTAATTATATTACTTTTGTTATTCATACGTATTAGCTATTTCTACATATTACATAAACCTTCTTCTATTACATAAAGCTTTTCTATAATTATAGTTTTTTCTATAATATTCTATAAAGCTTCTCATATTACGTAAAGCTTCTTTTTTCATTTCGATGACCCTAATATTTTTAATTTAACAAACAATCTATTAATAAAGTCAGTTTATAATGTAATTTCTTAAGTTTTAGTTTAACTACTCTTCATTCAATTTCATCAGTTATAGTTAATATTTGCTTTTTTAACATACAATTTTACCTTAAAAATATAAAAAAATGTATTAGAATTGAAAAAAGGAAATAAATGACAAAGAAAAATCTCATTAGATGGCAACGTTTAAAAAAGTAAACTGGAGGAAAAATTTCTTTCCCGTTATTCTCCACATATAAGCAATCTTTAATCTTAAAGTCATTTAATAGAATAAAAAAAGGAAAAAATTTGCATAGCTGAAAGGTTGATATGGTATATGAAATAAACTTCAATGTCAAACATCATTTTTTTCTTGCGAAATCGTTTAAATTTGTTTTATCAAATTTATCAATTAATAAAGAAATTTGAAAGCAAAAA